GCTAGGTGAACAGAGGCAACTGGTACACGAAAACGTGCTGAAACAACTCTCACCTGCCGCATGAATCGACCCGGGATCTTTCAGTACTCAACCGACTGCGCGGACTTTTGCGGTACATTATCTCTCACCACCGTCATGAATGTTTGCCATTCTATGACTGCAGGGGAAATTCCTCTTTATAGCCAATAAGTTACATGAAGTGCGGCCACTCGCCAGGTCCGGCGTGGAGCGAGGCGCGGTAAACCAGCGAGAGTGAAAGTGATTCACTCGGGCAGTGCTGCAACTGCTGAGTCATCAATGGTTACAGTAATTGTCTTTCACTCAAGAAATTTCCTAGTGAGCTATGCCTCTCCTGCTCTGTAACCCTACGCATATATATATTATATTATATTATATATATAATATATATAATATAATATAATATATATACGCATATATATATTATATATATATATATGTGTGTGTGTGTGTGTGTGTGTGTGTGGTGTGTGTGTGTGTGTAAATCACGAAAAATAAAAACGTGATAAAAAATGAGACAGTGTCAGACCACGGAGGAAAAATGAAACAAGAATTTCCTTAAGTACATACGTATATTATTACATCTTCAGAAGGATATTATATATATATTATATATATATATATATATATATATATATATATATATATATATATATATATATATATATATATATATATATATATATATATATTAAAAAATGAACGAAAAAGTAAGATTAATAATTCTAACACGAATTTTCTCAATATTTCTTATGTTTCTTTTCACTGTCGATGGTAATTGAAAAATCAATTCTCCAAAATTCATTTTTATTTCTAGTCTGACGCGACACTTGAACGCGATTCGTAATAACTTATTACATTTTCAAAGACTTTAGTTTACACACACACAACTATAACCTGCAAACACTAAACAGAGTTCTACTATGCTCTAATTTAAACAGCTTTCATCTTATATACCTGCATTTGGGTGAGGTGATATGTTACAACAGTTTTGGATGAGGTGAACAAAACTTTCAACACAGAACGGAACACGAAAGAATGGGTATTAATTGGGTAAATTGAAGGTAAGGATGGAAGTAACTGCAAAAGGGTCTATTGGCCCATACTTCTTGATGCTTCTATATTGGAGCGGAGTCTTGAAGTGGGTAGAATATAGTTGTGCATTAATTGGCTGTTGATTGCTGGTGTTGACTTCTTGATGTGTAGTGCCTCGCAGATGTCAAGCCGCCTGCTGTCGCTGTATCTATCGATGATTTCTGTGTTGTTTGCTAAGATTTCTCTGGTGATGGTCTGGTTGTGGGAAGAGATTATATGTTCCTTAATGGAGCCCTTTTGCTTATGCATCGTTAATCGCCTGGAAAGAGATGTTGTTGTCTTGCTTATATACCGAGTTCTTTGAGGCTTACAGTCCCCGAGTGGGTATTTGATGGCATAGACGACGTTGGTCTCTTTTAAAGCGTTCTGCTTTGTGTCTGGAGAGTTTCTCATGAGTAGGTTGGCCGTTTTTTTGGTTTTATAGTAAATCGTCAGTTGTATCTTCTGATTTTTGTCTGTAGGGATAACGTTTCTATTAACAATATCTTTCAGGACCCTTTCCTCCGTTTTATGAGCTGTGGAAAAGAAGGTCCTGTAAAATAGTCTAATAGAGGGTATAGGTGTTGTGTTAGTTGTCTCTTCAGAGGTTGCATGGCGTTTCACCTTCCTACTTATGATGTCTTCAACGAAACCACTGAAGAAGCCGTTGTTGACTAGGACCTGCCTTACCCTACAGAGTTCTTCATCGACTTGCTTCCATCCTGAGCTGTGGCTAAGAGCACAGTCGACATAAGCGTTAACAACACTCCTCTTGTACCTGACCTGCAGATGTCATCTGCAGGAGCTGAAAGAGGCATTTGAGCAGAGTTCCGTGCTGCGTTTCACTTACGAGATGGAAAAGGATGGGAAGCTGCCCTTTCTAGATGTAACAGTCATGGAAAAGAGCGGAGGTTTCCACACTGCAGTCTACACTAAGGAAACGAACATAGGAATGTGCCTAAATGCCAACAGCGACTGCCCAGACAGGTACAAGAGGAGTGTTGTTAACGCCTATGTCGACCGTGCTCTAAGCCACAGCTCAGAATGGAAGCAAGTCGACGAAGAACTCTGTAGGGTAAGGCAGGTCCTAGTCAACAACGGCTTCTCCAATGGTTTCGTCGAAGACATCATAAGAAGGAAAATGAAACGCCATGCAACCTCTGAAGAGACAACTAACACAACACCTATACCCCCCTATTAGACTATTTTACAGGAACTTCTTTTCCACAGCTCATAAAACAGAGGAAAGGGTCCTGAAAGATATTGTTAATAGAAACGTTATCCCTACAGACAAAAATCAGAGGATACAACTGACGATTTACTATAAAACCAGAAAAACGGCCAGCCTACTCATGAGAAACTCTCCAGACACAAAGCAGAACGCTTTAAAAGAGACCAACGTCGTCTATGCCTTCAAATGCCCACTTGGGGACTGTAAGCTCCAAAAAACCCAGTATATAGGCAAGACAACAACATCTCTTTCTAGGCGTTTAACGATGCATAAACAACAGGGCTCCATTAAGGAACATATAATCTCTTCCCACAACCAAACCATCGCCAGAGAAATCCTAGTAAACAACACAGAAATCATCGATAGATACAGCGATAGCAGGCGGCTTGACGTTTGCGAGGCACTACACATTAAGAAGTCAACACCAGCAATCAACAGCCAATTAATGCACAACTATATTCTACCCACCTCAAGACTCCGCTCCAATATAGAAGCATCAAGAAATATGGACCAATAGGCTTTCTTCAATCACTTCCATTTCAATACCCATTGTTTCGTGTTTTGTCTTGTGTTGATGATTTTTTTTTTTTTTTTGAGATATATACAAGAGTTGTTACATTCTTGTACAGCTACTAGTACGCGTAGCGTTTCGGGCAAGTCCTTAATCCTATGGTTCCTGGAATACGATCCCCTGCCGCGAAGAATCGTTTTTTCATCCAAGTACACATTTTACTGTTGCGTTAAACAGAGGCTACAGTTAAGGAATTGCGCCCAGTAAATCCTCCCCGGCCAGGATACGAACCCATGACATAGCGCTCGCGGAACGCCAGGCGAGTGTCTTACCACTACACCACGGAGACTGCATAAATTAATACCCTATTAATTAATAGCCTAAATTAATACCCTATTAATGCCACCTCTTGTTCTGTCTTGTGTTGATGAAATTAATACCCTATTAATGCCACCTCACCCCATCCACCTCACTCAAATGTAGATATAAACAAAATCGGAGATGTGTAAGTTCTATTCAGTTGTGTATTTGTAAACTAAAGTCTTTGAAAATGTAATAAGTTTTACGAAACGCGCTCGTGTCGCGTCAGACTAGAAATAAAAATGAATTTTGGAGAATTGATTTTTGAATTACCTCCAACAGTGAAAAGAAATATACGAAAGATTGAGAAAATTCGTGTTAGAATTATTAATCTTACTTTTTCGGTCATATTTAATATTATATATATATATTATATATATATATATATATATATATATATATATATATATATATATATATATATATATATATATATATATATATATATATATATAAATAATTGCTTAAACTCACAAGTCTGAAGTTAAACAACAAACCTCCTATGGGCACTGGAGCAAGTGAGAGGTCACTCACGTTTTTCATCAAGCTCCTGTTAATATGGGAGAACACCATGTCTATGCTTTATGCACTGACTTGCTTAAACTTGCAAGTTTGAAGTTAAACAACTTTAGACAACCCCCACCAAGTGACTCGAACCCTAGCCAGAACAGATGCTTCACAACACCTGGCATAGCTGGTACGCCTTTAACCCACTACTCCACTCAGACCCTTAAAAGAGATGAGAATTTTGAGGTATTTAACCCCCCAAATATCCCCACCTCTGAAGGGCTCTAGTGCCCATTAACACTAAATTATCTTTAGAAAAAAAAGTAATAATTAAAATCGTTCATTCAAGTTAATAATGTGAGATATCCAGTTTCCTCTTACCCAACCACTTGGGCTGGACAGTAGAGCGACGGACTCGCCGCATGTAGGGCGGCGTTCAATCCCCGACCGTCCAAGTGGTTAGACACCATTCCCTCCCCCCGTCTCATCCCAAATCCTTATCCTGACCTCTTCCAAGTGCTATATAGTCGCAATAGTTTGGCGCTTTCCCACGACAGCAACTGCATTACATGCACATTTCACAGCGACTACAATGATTTGAAAAGCCGTTGAGGAATGGGATTCACTAGTGAGCATTCTGCATCTACATCCACCACCAAGATAATGTTATTAAAACAAGACTAAAACCAGTGCACTAAAACAGAAGCGAAAAAGAAACTGGGAAAAAGGAGGAATCAAAACTTTGACCCAAATATCACAGTAACAAGGTTATCGTGAATAACCGAACTCAATTACGGGGTAACAATAGCGCGTGCTACATGGACATTTCGCTCTGAGTAGCTGAATCCAAAACAACAACGGCGCTTTCCCCTGATAATTCCCTTCTCTCATACATTTGGGACGCCATTTCTGAGTGGCAACAATTAGTCACCCAGGACAGAGGCGGAGGAAGAGGAGTGAATTTCCTGATGTCCTCGCAGGAACCTGTTCCTAAGTTTAAGGTCAGTATGTGTGTGTACAATAATCTTAGAAAAACAGTATGATTAAAATTTATAAATGCAAATAAATGTGATATAGAGGGTAAAGCTATGAGCAATACCAGTGCGATAAGTAATCAAGAAGAGAGAATTAAGAAAAACTAGGAAATACCGTATAATATAGATAGAAAGAGAAGCAGGGATGAGATACACGGATACAGGAAGTGTAACGGACCTTGGATCATAATAAGTGGTGGTGACCTCCTTTACAGACGTCCTTTACGGCAACGTCCGTCCCAGCACACCGTGGCTACCTCGGGGAGTGTGCGGACCTCTGTTTACCTTCCTCTACCGCCGGACACATCAACCATATACACTGTAACATTTCTGCAGCTCTACCCACCTCTTATCATATTACTGTGAGGGATACAGCCTCCAGCCTCACATGTATTGCATTAGAATAATTAGCTCATCCACGCGACGCTAGTATGCTCGTGCTGTGACTCACCCTCAAGTATAATACTACGCTTCCATATCCGAGGAACGGCGATACTGTTTAAAGTTGAATGTGCTTGTACTAACATTAAAAAAGGCTGAGCGCAATACATGTGTGCTTGAGACTGATTCACCGCCTCTGCTTGAGGCGGCGAATATCATTAAAACAATAACCACACACACACACACTCACTCACTCACACTCACACTCTCGCCGTCATGGTGATGTGATCCCACATTTAACCTCACAGGCGTTTACAATTTATTGCCAGTGATCCGATCAGTATTACCTTACGCAAACATAAGTGCATTGTTTTGAAAGGGACTTTAAGAAAGCATATACATCGTATTCTCGGAAAGCATTCATCGTATAAATTTAAACTAGTGAGAAAAAGTTTCTGAACCATCATTAGTGAGATACAGCATCTGAACGCAAGTTAATGAAAACCAATCTTTAAATTAGTGAAATGCAGAGACTGAACTTACAGCAGTGAGACAAGGCATATGAACCCACACTAGTGCAATACTTTGACTGAACCTACAGTATTGGTGACGATACGGTAACGATAATATCTAGATCATCTCAAGTGAGTATATGTTTGCGAAACTGTCGTCGCATATATGCAAAATGTCGTGCTCTAACTAACCCCAACCACAACAGGTAAGCTTCCCAGCCAGTACTGAGAAGCCAGTAAGCTTTCGAGTACTTCCCAGGTTACCAGTACTTCCCAGCGAAGGGAAGAAATAGCCTAAGCTACTCTATCCTTTTGAGAAGTAATTCCTTTTCTCAATAAACGTACTTGAACTTGAGTATGCAAAAACTACTTGATCCCCAGATAGTAAGTAAAAACTACTTGATCCCCATATAGCAAGCAAAACCTACTTACTATGAAGGCTGGTGAGTAGCATAATATGTTGTGTGTTAATACTTTTAAAAATAACAATAAAAAATGAACATGATAGATTCATTATATTTCTTTCGGTATTCACCTATTTGTACTCGCCTATTTGTGCTTGCGGGGGTTGAGCTCTGGCTCTTTGGTCCCGCTTCTCAACCGTCAATCAACAGGTGTACAGGTTCCTGAGCCTATTGGGCCCTATCATATCTACACTTGAAACTGTGTATGGAGTCAGCATCCACCACATCACTGCCTAAGGCATTCCATTTGTCAACTACTCTGACACTGAAAAAGTTCTTTCTAATATCTCTGTGGCTCATTTGTGCACTCAGTTTCCACCTGTTTCCCTAGTGCGTGTGCCCTTTGTGTTAAATAGCCTGTCTTTAAATACCCTATCTATTCCTTTGAGAATCTTGAATGTGGTAATCATGCCCTCCCTAACTCTTCTGTCTTCCAGCGACGTGAGGTTTAATTCCCGTAGTCTCTCCTCGTAGCTCATACCTCTTAGCTCAGGTACTAGTCTGGTGGCCAACCTTTGAACCTTTTCCAGTTTAGTCTTATCCCTGACTAAATATGGACTCCATGCCGGGGCTGCATACTCAAGGATTGGCCTGACATATATGGAATACAAAGTTCTGAATGATTCCTTGCACAAGTTTCTAAAGGCCGTTCTTATGTTGGTTAGCTTGGCATATGCCGCTGATGTTATCCTCTTGATATGGGCTGCAGGGGAGAGGTCTGGCGTGATATCAATCTCCAAGTCTTTTTCTTTCTCTGACTCTTGATAAATTTCATCTCCCAAATGATGACAGATGGAAAGGTGTGTGTGTGCTCACCTAGCTGTGCTTGTGGAGGTGGCGCTCTGGCTCTTTGGCCCCGCCTCCCAACCGTCAATCAACTGATATATTGTGCCTGAGTCCTGAGTTTACTGGGCTCAATCATATCTACACTTGAAACTGTGTATAGAGTCTACTTCCATCACATCACTTTCTAATGCATTCCATCTGTCAACTACTCTGACACAAAACAAAATATTTCTAATGTCTCTATGGCTTATTTGAGCTCTCAATTTCCACCTGTGTCCTCTAATGCGTGTGCCCTTTGTGTTAAATAGACTGTCTCTATCTACCCTATCAATTCCTTTGAGAATCTTTTATGTTGTGATCATGTCCCTCCCTATCTCTTGTGTATTCCAGTGACATGAAGTTTAATTCCCGTAGTGTCTCCTCGTAGCTCATACCCCTTACTTCGGGTACTAATCTGGTGTCAAACTTCTCTCTCTCTCACACACACTTTCTCTCCCCCCTCTCCCTATTCCCGCTCTCTCCCTCCGTCCCTGCTCTCCTCCCCCCCCCCCTCACTCGATCCTGTCCCTCATGGTATAAATTAACCCCATGAGTACGCATTACAACAGGGAATGAACATGGAGGGGAAACAACATTATACAGATGGAGGTGAGGGACACTGATGAACCAATTAATGACCTGATCATTAGCAAATGAGGGGAATTCAGAGGGGAACTAAAATAAAAATAGGGAGAAACAAGAAATAAGGGAAACAATAAACAGCTTACAAAATGAGCTGCGGGCTATTCCCTAAATGCTGGGAATATGACAAGGGGAAGGGACTTGTGCAGTACAAGCCGTATTCTCAGAATTGCTGAGAAAAAGTCAGGAAGATATGTCCACAGTGGAGGAAGTTGCCATGTAAACAGCCCGTCTCAGGAAGTAGCAAGATGTACTAGTCAGCTGTTGGTTAGGAAAAAAACAATAGTCGTGGTAGGTATTAAGAAACAAGAAGGTTCCAGTTGGGTGGAGTGGAGAGCTAAGGACAAAACTGCAGTCACACAGACCCTGAAGAAGGTACAGATGGAGAGGGCTGAATAAAATATAGAGAAAGTTTTCAGGCTTGGCAAGTACAGTAAGGAAAGAGATCGATTGATAAAGATAATATTCACGAACGAGGCTACACAAGTGGAAATTCTAACAGAGAAGAGCAAGCTGTTATATGCAATGGAATACAAAAAGGTATTTCTTCAGTAGGAAATACCGAGGTATATAAAAGCTGAAAGTATATAGAAGCTAGGATGAGTGTAGCTTTAGCAACCACATTGACCTCTTAACAAGTTGACCTGTGACTGGTGCTGTTTCTTTTACCAATTATGCGTGCCTACTGACTAGAACTGTCAAATACCTTCAGTTCGGAAAAATATTGAATTCCATAGACATACGAAATTGAATTGAGGGATTGATTGGTTAACAGCTTAATTAAAGTAAAGAAAAATATATTTCTTGATATAGGATATGGAAAAATATGTCCATATTTTTTTATAAAAGTATGACAACATTTTATTACATGATTGCCATATATTATTCTGCCACATATTCGACCTCATATGTTAGGGGCCATGATGCACTGTACATTTGATTTGCATCACAATACAACAAGCATCTGAGTTTAATATATATATATTAAAAATGTGCCTCTTAGTTATTTGCAGTTTAGACTGGTAACAATTGTAAATTTTGTGTAGCCTATCCTTAACACACATGAATAAACGTCGTAAGCAGCAAAGCAAGATTAACGTAAGTTTTTTCATCGTGGTCAGGTAAATATTTAAAGTCTTTCCACTGGTATGTTCTTATAAGTACCGTCTACTGCAGCTTCTAATTTGCAAGTATTCCTTAATTCTTAACAAGCTTCATGATTTAGGTAAACTCGTATCGTAAATACAAGATATATACACCAATAGGTTCATATATCTTGACATATTGTTAAATCAGAAACTTTTAGTTATGTAGCCTGTGTACAGGATATTGGCAATGATTCACTTATAGTACTAAACACTGTAAGTATGATACATTTGTCTAGGCACTATGATTAGGGTGCGACTGACTAGGTACTGTAGTTCTACTAATATCGTGTAATTCTTGTATTTCTGGTTTGAAAGTGCAGGTCTGGTACTGTTATTTTGGTACTATTACCATGGACTGCTGTCAAGCCCTCATAAACAATCTCTGGTATCGATTCAAGATTGTAACCTTGATTTGGGCGTTCAAATATAACACAGTTGTTATTGTATTATTTTCTTGTTAATGTCCTTTATACAGTTGCCTTGGCTCCGAAGTAATCGCTCAGTAATTTCAATGATGCATCCACGGTCATTTGGTCGTATGGTACCTTTCATATTCTGTTGACATTCTCGAATACGGCTGGCTGTTATTTCAAGACGTAAATGTGAATGCGTATAAATCTGTGCTGTACTTTAAATTACTACCGTTTTAAATTGAAATATGAAAAGAGGTTTAAGAAAATGTATACTGTGCTTTATATCTCTTATTCAACGTTCGCATTTTTTTTTAATTTTTTACATCCGGTTCACTCCATGCTATTGACTCTCTTGCCTTTTGAGATTTCGATAATCAACACTCCACTTCCCAGTCCGTGCAAGAGTTTGCTTTTCTCCAACAGTAAGAAGGAAGCCTCTCAGGCAAAAGGATGACTCTTGACAAGAAGCACGTGTTGGTGGTAGTTGCGGTGACGACCATGCTGGTGTTGGCAGTGTGGCAAGTCTCAGTGGAGCCGCGACGTCACAGTCAGTACACTGACAAACCCACGCATTCTCGCCACAGGCGCTCGCAGCCCCACCCACATATTAACATGACTACTGTGAGTATAACAGAGGTTATAAGCATATGCATGCATATGCTTATATATATATATATATATATATATATATATTATAAGTTATATATATATATATATATATATATATATATTTTTATATATATATATATATTTTTTATATATATATATATATATTTTATATATATATATATATATATATATATATTATATATATATATT